ACATTGCAAAGGACATCAAGATATAAGGGTGAATATTTAGGGCACCTTTAGAATCAATCTACTGCAACCACTAAGAAAGAGAAAAAGCACTTCTAATTAGATTATGATACTCATTGATTACAAGATATCACATTTCCTTCCTTCCTTCCTTCCTGTCTCTTTCTTTCTTTCTTTCTTCCTTTTTTTTTTTTTTGAGACAGAGTCTCACTCTGTCACCTAGGTAGAGTGCCCTGGCTCAAACTCTTGAAGTCCAGCAATCCACTTGCCTCAGCCTCCGGAATAGCTGGGATTATAGGAACTCACCATGATACCCAGTTACTTTTTTCTATTTTTAGTAGAGATGGGGTCGTGCTCTTGCTCAGGCCGCTCTCAAACTCCTGAACTCAAGCAATCTGCTCTTCTGGGCCTCTCAGAGTGCTAGGATTATAGGCATGAGCTACCTCTCCCAGCCAATACAGAATTCTACTGAAATACCATAAAAGTGAAAGACAGAACTAAGTAAGTACCCTACAGATTTTCTTTCATGCCAAATGCATTGTCTGGGAAAATTTGTCCCCAAACTATTTATTTCAATACATCACTGTTTAAATTGTACACAATTTAATGAAGAGAATACATAAATGATAAATAGTAGATATTGAAAACTAACACACAAGCACATTTCCTCTCCTACCTGTGATAATACAGGTGTCTTCTTTAAGGTCCTTTAAGGTCAAATTCTGCCCAGTGCTGTGTGATTTATACCCCCAATATTGACATCAGTGTTTACCTCGGGAGGATTCCCAAGTGTGTCAAGAAGAAATAATTAGAAGTGGAGTCCCACTGGAGAACATGCTCAGAGGAAAAATACCAATGAGTCCTACTGGGCTATAGCAAATCAAGTTATTCAGAAAAAAATCCCTATTTTATACTCTACTGAAGTTCAAATCAGTTGTCTGTTATGAATACTTGGGTAGATAGAACTTTAAACTATACTGAAGACTAAATCTAAAATACCCTACTGATGCTTAACCTCTTAAGACTCTGAATTCAGATAATTGTCTTTATTATTTCAAGAATGCTACTGTATTTCCTACGTTGTCCTTTAACAAGTTCATATAAATATATGTTCTAATAAAAGAGTGGAATGGGATACCTTTATCTGTGAACCTTGGTGCAGGTTTGGAAAACTTACTCTACAAAGGAACAAAGAGCTCAGACTGGCAAGGTCTGCAGAGAATTTACTGAGTTTGAGCAAGAGGAAGTCCATTTTGTTTTTTCTGCTGTGACCCCCTGCAAGGCAGCAGATGCCAGTGAAGGGACTTGGCTGTTTCCCCCTCCTCCCTTCAATGTAAAAGTCTGCACCTACCCTTGTGGTCCAAAATGCTTCATTATTTATGAAACACAGTAGTTCTTCCTCCCAACCATACCCATGCAGGAGCAGAGAGAACTCAACCGTCCATCAGCAGAATCTGGTTTAAGCTTCAGATGGAGAGCGTTTTTCCCTATTGTATGTCATAAGATGCTTTCAATGGCTACTTTGGTTTATGTCTCCAAGTTAAGACCTTGGATGTGGTTTAAGTATTTTATCCTAAGAAGGATAAGATATGAGACTTTGGTCAGACACGTGTAGTGCAGTTATTTTTTTGTAGTCTGTACACTGTACATTCTTCTTTCAATCTTTCTCTCTCTCTCCTTTTTTTCTCCTTTTTTTTTTTTTTGAGATAATGTCTCAGTCTGTTTTGTGGAATAGAATGTGGTGCTGTCATCATTGCCGCAACCTCAGTTTCCTGGGTCTAAATGATCCTCCTGCTTCAGCCTCCTGAGTAGCTGGGACTAAAGGCACTTGGCAACCACACTCAGCTAATTTTTAAATTTTGTGTAGAAATAGGGTCTCACTATGCTGGCCAGGCTGATTTCAATTCCTAGTCTCAAGTATCCTCCTGCCTTTGCTTCCCAAAGTTCTAAGCTTACAAGCATGGAGAGCCACACCTGTCCTCAATCTGTTTATATTACCTTATAATTAAGAATGGTTCTTAATATGAAGCCAGTCCTATTGATAATAATTTCTGTATCTTGTTTAAGAAACACAATCTCAGGTTATGAACATATTGTCTTACACTTTGTTCCAGAAGCTTTATTATTTTATCTTTAACATTATACACTTGTATCCTCCTAGAATTGATAGTTGCATATAGCATGACGAAGGGATAACAAAATGATGTATTTCAAATGGATAGCATATTGACCCAATAGCATTTATTGAGAAGTGCTCCTTTCCCAGTGCATCTCGATGCTCACCTTCATTGAAAACCCAGTGATCATGTAAGCATGTGTCTGCATCTGCCTGAACCAAAAACAGCTCTCTGTGTCATTCTTGTTTAATTTCTACCTGGGTACATACACAAACATCAACACACACAGTACATGGGTGTGGGATTTTAGACTGGCCATTGTTCTCTTTTAGAACTTTAAAAGAAGGTGTTTTATGGCTTCTGTTATTTCTGTTAATGGGACAACTGGTCCTCTTTGCATTGCTTTTATGAGCATAATCTCCCTCTCTTATCTAGTTTCTTTTGAGATTTTGCTACTGTTTTGTGGTTGAGCAATTTGACTCAGGTGACTGGAGAAGTTGTCCTGTTTGTGGTCTATTGAGCTTCTTTCATCTCTGTGCAAACATCTTTCATTAGTTTTGAAAATTCTTTTGACATGTTCTCTGTAAAGGTTGTGTTAGCCCTCTCTTTCACTTTTTACTTTCTAGAAATCTGGCCATATTTATGTGAAACCTATTTACTAAGTTCCTCACTTGTCAAGTGTTTATTTCAGTATTTTACATTTGTTTTCTGTGAGGCTCTCAGTCACCTTTGGGGGAGCTGTAGGCCTCTACACCTACAAAAACACACACTCACAAGGTGAGAAGACAGTGGTCCTCTGTAAACATGAGGTGTTATTATTAAAACAGTGTATACTACCTTGTATGTTGATATAATAGGTTTAGACATATTATTGATTAACCTTCTGGGTTCTTACACAGATTTCTAGCATTCAGTTTAGAAACCTATTGGTCATTTTTTTTTTTTTCTAAAGAGCCAAGAATTAAAGCAGGTATCATGGCAAAATACTAGACCACTAGTTGGTATGTTTTAGGCCAGAGGTGGAGTCCACTCAGGAAAGGACTAAAGCTGAACTGACAAAGGAATGTGCAATGAATGAGGCTCACATTTGAGGTTTGATACATTAAAATGGAATGCTGGCTTTGGGAAGCCGAGCAAGACTAACTAGAGATTAACTGAAATTTTTTTTCAAAAGCTTATTATGTATTTTAAAAAATGCTAGGAAGAAGTCTAAAACTCTATGACTAGCTCCTTACACAAAGAAAATCCAGTTCTGGTTTTATTGGTTTAATTCCCCAAAGTATAAATCATTTTTTTTTTTCACTTACATTAACTCCTTACTACTGAGGTTCTTACCTTGGGGCCTGGGCAGATAAAATTCTCTTAGAAAATTCAAAATTCCTATAAATTGATATAGATAACCAGAATCCATTTATCCAAATTTCTTTAGGGAAATTTCCCCATCCCTTCAAGAAAAAGATAAAAATGATTGATAAATTATGTTTAGACTAAACTCTACAAAATATCAGATGCTACATAAAATAAGAACACTAACTAAGGACAGTTGTGGTGGTTCACACCTGTAATCCTAGCACTCTGGGAGGTCAAAGAGGGTAGATCCCTTGAGCTCAGGTGTTTGAGACCAGCCTGAGCAAGAATAAGAAAGACCCTGTCTCTACTAAAAATAGAAAAATTAGCCAGGTGTTGTAGCAGGTGCCTGTAGTCCCACCCACTTGGGAGGCTGTGCAGAAGGATCTTATGAGCCCAAGAGTTTGAGTGAGGTTTCTGTGAGCGAGGCTGAGGCCATGGCATTCTAGCCTGGGAACCAGAATGAGACTCTGTCTAAAAAGGAACACACAAACAAACAAAGCAAACACTTAGTTAAAATCAGTAATGATGTTTACTTAGCAAACAATTTCCTTTTAAACAATTCTTTGGATAAAGCCTCCTTCACATCCTTGTTCCTCAGACTGTAAATCATAGGGTTCAACATGGGGATCACTGTGGTATAAAATACAGCCACCATTTTTCCCTGCTCCACAGACTCTTCTGATGGCGGTCTGAGGTACATGAGGAAAAGAGCTACAAAGAATATAGTGACAGCTGTCAGATGGGAGCCACAGGTAGAGAAAGCTTTGCGCCTACCCTCTGTAGAGCGGATCCTCAGAGTGGCAGGGAATATGTAAATATAGGAAATGAGGATGATAAGGAGAGAATAGGTGAAGTTGAAACCAGCCACAACAAACATGGACAACTCTTTGTTGTAAGTGTCTGAACAAGCCAGCTTAATCAGTGGAGGGTCAGCACAGTAGAAGTGGTTAATTTTGTTGTGGCCACAGAAAGACAGGTTGTAGGTCCACATGGTCTCCATCAGGCCAGTGAGGGCTCCGTACACGTAAGGCACAGAGACAAGGGCCATGCACACAGTCCTGGACATTTTGCTGCCATACAGCAGAGGGTTGCAGATGGCCATGTACCGATCAAAGGCCATCACAGCCAGAATATAGATCTCAACATGGACCAAGGCAATGAAAAGGTAACACTGCACCAGACAAGCAGGGTAGGAGATGGTTTTCTTCTCAGAGAGGAAAATTTCCAGCATCTTTGGAGTCACATTGGAGGAGAAGCAGAGATCCATAAAGGACAAGTGGCTCAGGAAAAAGTACATGGGGGTATGGAGCCTAGCGTTGACCTGGACCAGTACAATCATGCCCAGGTTCCCTGCCACTGTGACCACGTAAACTGCCAGAAAGAGCACGAAGAAGAAAACCTGTAATTCCAGACGATCAGTCAGTCCCAGGAGAATGAACTCAGTCACCAAGGTGAAGTTTTTTCTCATGATTTCCTTCAAAGGGAAATTAAAACACTGGGTCAGTTCTGAACTTGTTTAAACGGAAAAACTATCATATTTTCTTAGAGCATTGCTATGTGTTCCTCTTCTTCACTTTTTATTCTTTTCTGTGACTTTGCTTTATCTCAGGAAACACTATAAATAGTGGTTTAATTGAAAGGAGGATCTTTAATTAAAAATTAGTAATTACGGTCAACTGGCTTCTGGGTCTGTGTCACTACTCAGATGTAGACCTCTGTCTTTTAGTTCATTCTTTGTATAATACAAAGTGTCAGCAGGTCTTATTTTAGATTGACTAGCTTTTGTTTTTTTTTTAAAGGGAAAGATAGAAGAAATGAGAAATATCTTAAAAGTAGGACAGTTAAAAACCTTGCGAGAAAACTTTCAGAAAACCTTTTAACATTCTTCTGGTTAATTTAATACACCTCACAGATGCTAATTTTTCATAGCCAACTGAATTAGAGCACAGAAATGGCTGTGCCCAGCACACTAGTTGTAAGTGTAAAAACGGAGATTGAGGGCAAACAGATCATCCAGAACACAGACAGAGCCTGGACCCCCTTGCCCACAACCAGGTAAATGTTTCTTCTTCAAAATCAGAGGCCAAACCGGTCTTCATGGAGCAGCTCAACAAATAAACACATAAATGATTACAACCTCTTTTGTTTGTTTTATTCTCAAACTAGATTTGCTATGGGCAAAGAGTAGCTTCTGGCCACAAGAAGGTGATGAAAGGGGAGTGTGGAATTTTCATTCACTCCGATTTAAAACAGGCTCCCCTCCCTTCCTCCTTTCTTGCTCCGGAAGCAGAGTGAGCTATCCTGGAGGAAACAGATGAGAGCCACTCTTTACAGATGGCGGAAAAACAAGAGTGAATTAAACTGGAGCTCCTAAAATTTTAGTGAAGCTGAACTTATGTACTAGCTCAGAGTTTTATATAAAGGAGAAACGGACTTTTATCTTTGTTAAGTAATTGTTATTTTGTTTTGTTTTCTACAAAACTGAAGCCATTATCTGATTAATACAAGCATTCTAAGTCCATACTTAAGATTACTACAAGCCTGACTGCCATATAAGATACAACTCTATGAAATTACCATTATTTGTTAGCATTTAGTTTCTCAGGAGTTATACCCAAGGACTATGGGATGGCTTGAAAAGTGTGAGGATGAAACTTAGACAATGCTGCTGTCACCTGAGACATTTTCAAATTGCCTCCAACCTCCTTTTCGTCTATCCCCTGCCATTTAGGAATTCAGAATCTTCACAAATATACAAACACAGAAGGCACCGTGTTTTGTAATTCCATGGAAAGCTGAATAAAGATGAATATTTATTGCAAAACAGAATAAAAAGTAAAGTTTACACATGCAACGCATCCTTTCTGTTTCCCACCTGTGCTCAAACACGGAGGATTTTCCACTGGCTGTTTCATGGTGCTTAGTCCTCAGATTCACTGTACCTCTCTGCTTTCTCTTATTTCTTCCTTCTTCGATCTCTCTCCTCTCCTGAAATGACCTCAGAACACTGTAATGTTTCTCTCTATCTTATTCTGAGGTGGTCCCTTTTGTGGGCTTCTAATCACAAGCCAGCTCTAGCTCTGTCTTTGCCTAGGGAGCACATTAAGGTGTTCTGAAAACTGAAAGTCTTTTTATACACTAGGAATCATCATCTTTAGAAGGATGGTGAACTGATAACTCCCCTTCTCTCTTTTCCTCTCTCTTCCCTCCTGACTGATTACAGAGTCTTTCTGACTGTGCATATTATGTACATAGACAGAGAGGTATTACATACACAGATGTACACGTGTATGTATACATACATATATGTGTGTGTGCACATATAGACGGATATACTTTTTGTTTTAGTGGGTATGCATATATTTTTAGGAGGATTGGGTAACAGGATGCCTCTCTCATTTCCTCATCTCCTACCAGAGAGCCCTGGAACACCATCTTACACTCTCCTATGTATTCGTCCTATCCTCCATGAAAGCGATTTGTGAGGAGATTGGGCCTTCAAAACATTAAAAATTATTTTTAGCCAATTTTTTTTCAGCATCTTCAGTACTGTTATTTATCTCACAAAATCAACTCAAAGTTTTTGGAATTTGGACTTTAAAAAATTACATCTATGACCAGGCACAGTGCCTTTCGCTAGGTTGGTATTCCTAACATTTTGAGAGGCCAAGGCTGAAAGATTGCTCAAGGCCAGAAGTTCAAGACCAGCTTGAGCAACATAGGGAGACCTTGTCTTTACTAAAAAACAAACAAACAAACAAATGAATGAATACATAAATAAATAAAAAGAAAAAGAAAGATCAGCTGAGTGTAGCAGTACATGTCTGTAATGCCACCTACTCAGAAGGCTGAGGCCAGAGGAATGCTTGAGCCTGAGAGTTTGAGTTTGCAGTCAGCTATTATAAGGCTACTGCACCGTAGTCCACACAACAAAGTGAGACGTGAGACTGTGTCTCAAAGAAAAACAAAAATGAAACAAAGCAAAACACTGAAAAACAAACAATTACAATTAGGCTACATATTAGCTCTACAATTTTAGATAACTGCCAGGCATATTAATCTTCTCACCTTAAAATATTGTTGAAGAGATATTCCTTGAGAATAACAAGGTATATATAAAGATCAGATAACATACAAGGCACATAAAGCTATCACAAGAAAATGTACTTTCTTCCTCCACTTCTTTAATCTTTAGACCAAATACAAATCCTCAGATTTTGCACCTGGGTACGTCACAGACACCCAGCCACATTCTTTTCGGTATGGTCATTTAACTAGTTCCAACCATGCACTCATTTCTGCCTAATAAGTATTTGGATTCTGGGTATAAATAATAATTCTTTGCCTAGCTGCTAACAACTCAAAATAGACAGCTCTACATATAAAGAGGTAGAAAAACCAATGGGCCTTTAAGAATAATAATGAAGGAATATTTTGCTTGTCTTTATAAAGTTGACTGTTTTCCCCTAATGTATTAAAAAACATCATGACAAAGCAATCAATTCTTCTAATTACAAATTCCCTGAAGAAATGTTGGGGGCTTTTCACATGAGCGTTATAAACAGTTTAAGTGTGTCTTCCATGCCATCTTCATCTCTCTTGCTGATGGCCTTACCCTGTACTCCCTGTCAGCATGTCCTATTTCAGATTGATTAGCTTCTACCTCGCTGCCTCTATTACTCAGCAGACAGGGCTGCATTTTATAGAAAGTGTATTACTCGTTCGCTCCACTTGGCCATCAATGCAGCAAAGCATATTTGACCACACAGTGTTACTGCAGTGTCATTTCGTTTGGAGAAAAATTAAATTGTGGCTATTTTTTGCTTATCTTGCATTGTTATTTTTAGAAAAGTCTAAGACATAAATGAATGCAATTAAAGAAATATGAATAATTCAAATGATTGCTATATTTTCTTTATTTTCCTAAACCATGATGTACTATGTACAGTTGTCAAATTTCTTGGTGATCAAGCGTTTTTTAAAAATTTTTTTTATTAAATCATAGTTGTGTACATCAATGCATTCATGGGGTACAGTGTGCTGGTTTTATATACAATTTGAAATACTTTCATCAAACTGGTTAACATAGGCTTCATGACATCTTCTTAGTTATTGTGTTAAGACATTTATATTTCTTTTTAATATATGTGATTCATAAATTAATGTTTATAAACTCAATATACTGAGCATTTTTCACATAGAATTTTACTGGAAATTCATTAAAAGTCAAAGTAAACGTTATTAATCCTATTTTATGTTGAAAGACCTGAGCTTTAGTGAGAATAATCAATTTTCCCAAATTTAATAAGCAAACGAGTAAACCAGTGGATAATAAAACTCAGATCTACAAATCTATCACTAACATACTTGCCTTCTTTTGCTGCTAGTTCATCTCATTTTATGGTTAAACATTTATTACCAGGAATTAAAAATGTCTTTGTTTTCCAGGTACATGGAATCAATGCCAGACAAATTCATTATAACATTTAACGGGAGAGGAAATCAAGCAAAGTGGCTTTAGTTGCACTGAGTATTTCTGCTTTTACAGGCTAATGTCTGAGAGTTTTAGCCCAGTCACCTTCCTTCACTTTCTGCATCTTTAAAATGTATGAATGTCTACTACAGAAAATCCTAGGTCACTTCCATTTCAAAACCCAACGCATGTCTAGGTATCTTAATGCAGATGTTTAGGACAAGTTTTTCTCCCAGAGAGCTTACTGGAACTCAGCTTCTGAGCAGAAACTTCGGGAATAAGGGCAGATTATGCAGTTCAGGACCCTGATAACAGGGAATTGGGTGGGACAACACCAAACCTCTACAGAAAAGAAGCAGCGGTAAGATGTGGGGGGAAATGGAAAAGATAAATAGCAAATTAGTATAATTCTCCTAAAATTACTTCCTAGATGAAAGGAGAGAGACAGAAATTTGGATAGAAATAAAAATGGCCTGAGGGGGAGACTCTCAGTTGCTAGACAGCTAATAATTCCAAATTGTGGGGTCCTCACCACCCACACACACCTGTTCTGCTTTGTTAAAATAAGATTTTTGCTCGTCACAGAATCCTCTCAAGTGCACGATGAAGAATGATTGGAAGGAAACATTCCCTTCAAGTTTCTAAGCACCTTAAAAACTGTTGATGTTTCCTTATATGTCACAGTCCGCTTTATGATGCTGTGACAAAATGCCACAGGCTAGGTCATTTATAATAAATAGACATTTATTTGCCTCATGATTCTGGAAACTTGAAAGCCCAAGAGCATAGAGCCGGCATCTGACTAGGGCCTTCTTGCTATGTCATCCCATAGAGAAAAGCGGAAGGGAAGAGAGAGCAAGAGTGAGAAATCAAATTATCTCAAGCTTTTTTTATAGCTATCATTAATTCATTTATGGATTTAGGCTGAAACTCCACCCCCCAGAAGCCCCTACTGATTGAAGGGCCCAAACATAGTGACCCTCTGTGATATGGAG